TACTGAAAGACTTATGAAGGAAACAGAAAGATTCATTTGTTAAGGTCTCTTCTTACTTCCTGATGCATGAGCTAGAGTAGCAGAGATCCAAAAGAGAAACATGGCCAGTTCAGATACCAAAAAAAAACCCTCAAAACCAAGAGAAGCAAACATTTACCCCAAAGAATAAATGCAAGGAAAATTTACATTGATGCACTGAAAATTAATAAAATGTTGCAGGTATTATGGGGCAGATGGACTAACAGTACTGCTTTGAACCCAGAATCTCAGGCACAATTTACATAAACCACAAAGTCACGTAATGGGAGGTACAGAAAGAGAAAATTCATTTGAATTGCAGAGATAAACAGCAAAATAAATCCACAAATTTACTCTGTAAGATCAAGGCTGTAAGCACCTCTGAATGGAAGAAAAAGTCCTCCTAATAAAGACAGAAGATACAAGTTATGATGAGTGACAGTAATAGGCTTAGAAGCCAAAAACGTAAAATGCCAAGATTGTGGGTGAAATAGTTTGCTCGACACTTTAACGATTTATTGTTGGAAGTTTTTATCTCCACATATTTATAACATTTGCTCTCTAGGGTGTCAAATCCAAGATATTCGACCTCCTCCATCCCATTCTCATACACACTGAGAGAGAAGGAAATGCTAATATTTACAAGCAGCACAGAGCTTTCATGTTACTTCCACCATGGTTCAGTAGCTATGTAAGAAGTCCAGCAATAAACAAAAAGTGTTTGTGTGTCTTGTGTTATTGTTATAACACAAGGCGTCAGGAATCATGCATGTGTTTTTTGGCATTTAGTCAAGTCTACAGGACTGTTATGGAAAGTTTATTTTCACTGGCTGCTTACATGAGTGACTACAGGTGGCAGAGACCAATGTGCTTGGATCAGCACTTCTGCACTACACAAAAAGTGACCTGTGAAAGCAGGAAAGCAGTGCTAAATTAAGAATAAAAAAAGAACAAAAAGACTGCCTTTCACCAACGTGTAGCTGACTACAGTGAGCCATATCAAAATGCTCAAAAAATGAGAGGGGCATTTCTTTCAAGAGCTTCTTGAATAAGATTGTTGAAATCTTGAACAGTTTGTACTGAAGTGGACTTATTTTACAGTGCACTATCACTATGGAAGCATTTTAAAAAAAACCCCAAACAACAGAACAACCAACACGAGAAAACAAAAAACAAAACCACTGCCACCTGAAAAACCAACTTAGCTTTAGATAGAAAAAGAAATGATTGTCCCACATTTTAAACTGTGGCTTGTTTGGCCAATTCAGCAATGAACTCAGGCATTTATAAAGAAGAAATACATCCTGTTTTTAAAGAAAGGATAGTATCAAAGCTCCAAGTGTCAAAACTTGATTAAATTTATAACACTCTTTTATCTCCAAAGTCAATACAAACCTACTTAAAGGACTATTTACAAGGATAAAGGCTTTAGCCAGGAAGACCAGTAGGAGTAACTCAACAAGAATGTCTGGCTAAAAACTAAGTGCCATTATTAAATTCTGGGGATGATATAATTATTTTTTTGAATAATTATGTATTGCTGTTAGTCTCCCTTCCTTCCTCCTCCAAGATCAGGGGAAATAAAGCTTAATCAGAAGTCTACTTCCTTCAAAAGACTTGTGTTAAAAGGAAAGCAACTCATGAAACTGTTAGGAGATAGGAATGGGTAGATGAGCCATGCCACAAAATTAATATGGATGTTTTAAAAATAAGACTTCCTTTAGATCCAGTAAACTAAGCAATTTATTTCTATAGAAGAGCATAGAGCAGCTGATAAAAGCAAGGCTGCACCAGCATTTTTCTTGATAAAGAAGAGAGGAGTGGCACTGTACAACCTGGATTCTATCCTCAGCTCTAGAGTTCTTCTCTACAAGCAGCCACCTGTGGATTTCAGAGCTATTGAAGCAAACAATGCAGGCTACAACTTCTTTCAGAGAAAATGCTCTTATTCTCCCACTATCCTGAGCCTTGTGGAAAGTCTGAATGGCTCAAGAAGGGGAATCATCCCCCAGAAGACCAGGTGTTGGGCTTCTCATTTTCCATGTTTGAGAGTCCACTGCTGCTCCCCATCTCTTCCCACTTGCTCACCTTTGCACAGTGCTCCCTCAGATCTTGCCTTCTTATCCCACACCTCTGAGCTGTCAGCAGTTGCCCACCTTCCTGCTTGCCTAACACCTCGCTCGCCCTCATCCAACAATATCTGACACTCACCCTCAGCCTGTAATTTCTAGTCCTCTATTCCATATAAAACCATAACCTTCAATCTTGTTACACTCCTCATAGTAATTTTATTTTCTTTCCAGTCATTAAAACTCCCACTTACTACAAAATGGTCACTTAACCCAATTCTCCTTAACCCTTTGAGGAGCATTTCATTCCCTTTAAGTACCTTCATATGACTGCTCTGCTCTTTGGTTTCTGTGACCCTCCCCAAAAAGGTCCCCACTGTTCTTCACAGAATCCCAAGTTCTCCAGTTGCTTCTCTCAACTATTTTGTCTCCCTTTTCCATAATAAGGTATGTACCAGTACTGCCATTATGGATCTCCAACATGACTCAACAGCACTGAATGAACTATGAATTCACAGCAAAATTTCACCCTGGTTTGCCTGTGCTATAAATGTCTTATTTTTCCCTTTACCTCACAAAGACTGCCTCCTCCAACTCCATGCAGTGGAGACCCACTGTCTCCAGCAGTGACAAACCCACTGTCTGCATACCATCTGTTACCTTAGGCTTCATCTTCTGGTACCAGATGGATATTCCTGACGTTTTCAAAGAGAAGTCTAAAAAGATCGGACTGAACTCAGTTATCTAACATTCTAAGCAAGTAACCAAACCTTCCATTATCTCCTGTACACCAGTCTCCCAAACAGAAAAATTTCAGGCCACACATTTCTCCTTTTCAAGTGGACATTACAGTTTGGTGCAGACATACTGACTTGGCCTCATATTTTCTTTTGATCAAAAAATCACAGCATGGTTTGGGTTGGAATAAACTAAAGATCATTTGGTTCCAACCCCCTGCCATGGGCAGGAAGTCCTTCTACCAGACCAGGTTCCTCAGGGCCCCATCCAACCTGGAACACTTCCAGGGATGGACCTCCTCAGCTTCTATGGGCAGCCTGTGTCGGTTTGTCACCACCCTCAAAGTAAAAAACATTCTTTCTAATATCTAATCTAAACCTACACTCTTTCAGTCTAAAGCCATTCCACCTTCTCCTATCATACATGGCCTTGTAAAAAGTCCCTCCCCAGCTTTCTTGTGGGCCCATTTAGGTATCGGAAGGTGCAGCAAGGTCTCCTCAGAGCCTTCTGTTCTCCAGGCTGAATTCTATAAATCTGCAGAGTGCCTTTACAAAAGTCCTAGTTTCCTGTAAGAAAGAATGCCAGAAGATGGGCAGTTACTTGCACAAAGTCCTATCTAAGACGATTAATGTTACCTTTATGCATAGAGACCTTAGAGGACCTCTAAGCTTCATTCTTCACTGCGTCACACACTAGTTAATCATCAAAAACAGCGCAGAAAAGGCACAGAGTTTTTGTGGAAGAACACTTAATCTTGTACAGCCACAAGTGATACAATTTTCCACTACCAAGTTTCTTATGCATCCACATGAGTCCCCTTCTGTACTTTGGACGAAGTAACTCAAGGCTGCCTTATTTTGCTTCTTGCATAAATACTGGACTGAACCATGAGGATTGTAGCCTCTGTCAGGTGGGGAAACAGAGCTCTCAAGAGTGACAAAACAAGTACAGTTATTTCTGATTTATATGTGAGGAATGCAAACACACAGAGACGGGGACTTCCAAAGAATCTACGGGATGAAACACTCAGTGCATGCCAACTCCCTTACTCTGCTTATGACTTGGAAAACAACCTTCATACTTCGCAGTCTGGCTATTTCTAATTTTGAAGGCTACAGAGCAAAGGAAAACAGCCTAGTAGCACACTGGATCTGTCCACAGAGCATCTCCAGCTCGCTCAACAACAAAGCACCTGCACTTCTCCAGCTGCTTCCAAGCCAGCAGGTGTAACAACACAGGAAAGACAGATCAAAGGGACTCTGTTGACAGCCATCCAAAACAATGCACTCTGCAGCCAGGGCAATGAGCCAGAAAGGGAAAGCAAGCACAGGCCTTCACAGAGCAACATGGGGCTGGACAGGGAAAACACACCAGGCTGAATGGTAGTGGCTTGACCACGCAAGATTTTGATGGCATGACTCAGTTGGACATACATTTATAAGATCCCACTTTAAGCGTTTTTTTCCCAACCTGAAATAGTTTGTGGTCTAGAGATGGGACACGGAGCCAAGAACTTCTGAATTCTCATTCTGTCTCTGCCATTGGCTATTTCATCACCCTCAATTCCTGTGCCTCAATATCCCACCATCTATTTCACATAAGTACTGTGAAAGTTACTGGAAATTTGTGGAAAGAGAAATAAAGATAGACACATATGAACTATTACAGCTAATACTTCATTTGTTATCAAGTGTTAACCTTTAGTGCTGTGTAACATGCACATTTTTCCTGCATGAATTAATTTAACCCAAAATTATTAGAGCAGTAAGGAAAAGTTCGTGATTATTTATATGCTTCATCCCCAGTCTCCAAAATGCACGTCATTTTTGGAAAGTGTACTTTTCCATCCTTGAAAAGGGCTTAAAGGAAATAGTAAAACTATGTACTTCTCAAAGTAAATCACTGCCCACTCTATTTTAAATAATGATTACAAATGACTGTTGACAATAAAAACAATTTTACATTCTGAGGATACTGCTTACAGCTAGGCACATTCCCCACCTGATAAGGGTTTAAATAAGGATTCAATGTTGCTGAGGATTGGCCACTGAAAAGGCTGTTCAGCAGTTTAAAGTCATGCTCATGAGCCTTCATGATAGAGTAAATTCAAAGAAGATGGTCTCTTAACCATTAAAAAAGCCATTAGAATAAGCACATTATAAACAAATCTCTTACCTATGAGTATCCTGTTTTTGGCAATGCCGTTCTTAACCTCATCATTGATCAGGTCTGTAAGGCCCCGGCACATAGAATCAATGCTTTCAATGTGTTCAGGACAGTCATTACAGATCTTATACCTGTCAAACCACACGTTGGAAAAGGCTCCTTTCATAGGTGTATATGGCCTGGAGTGGTGGAAGGAAAGAAAACAAATGATTAACCAAGCACAGGATTAAAAGTCTTGAGCATATATAATGAATAAAAATGATTCTGTGTATCTCCAGCAAAGCAGAGAAAAACCTCTTTGAGATCTAACTCCATTTACATCCAGTCACACTGCATTTCCTTGCATTGAAGTCATGGTCCTTCAAGAATGAAGCCAACATTTGGAAGCTATGTAAAATTTGCAGTTTTCAGCCAGTTCAATGTTAAGGTTGGTTAGGTCAGCTAAACATTTTAAATCTTTAAGCCTGTCAAGAGGTCCTTAATCCTAAACAAAGTTAGGGTTGAAATCTACGCTGGAATATGACAAACTGAAATAACTTCTAAACAAGATAACTTTATGGAATTCAATTGCCTAATTCTTGACAAAACTGACAGAGGGTGGGTACTATGAACCTCTAGGTATTAAAAACACCTGCCAATTTTTCTTTGTGTCAAATAAATACAGCCATCCTTATCTTAATGGGGCAGGTATCTCATAAACATAACTGAAAGAAATGCCATGTGCTTACTGGACTGGTGCACATACAAGAGATATGATACTCCCCACCATAATACTGCGTTGTCTGAATGTTATTTTAAGTGCTTCAACAAGCTGCCTGAATCTTAGATAATCAAGAAACCTTCAATTCAAAGAAGATTTTTCTTTAGTTTTAAATAAAGATGATTAATAGAGCCCTGAAATCCCAAGAAATGTGATCTAATTGCCTTGCAATGGCCCTACAATATGTTACAAAACATACTGCTATGAGATTGATCATCTCAAACAAAGCCCCTTGAAACCCTTATTTGCTATGTTCAACCAGGGCAAATTCTTCATTTTTACTTAAGCTTAGATCAGATTATAATCCTTATCCACAAAACAGACAGATTTTGATATATTTCTGGATGGGAAAACACTGAAAATGCTGAAGTTGACTTCTGTGCTGTCTCTGGAATTTTTTCAATACTAGGACTAAACAAAACCACAACTAACCTAAAATGAGAAAGCCATTAATTCAGTTATTCGTAATGAAGGAACAATTATGTCTTTATTAACATCAAAGAGGCTTCATATATGTAAACAGTTATTTCTAAACCAGTACACTAGGATGAGTGCTCAAGATAATACTATTTGCACTATTAATATTAATATGTGAAATTTTACTTAATTAATAATTAATAATATTATTAATAAGTATTAAAAATACTTATTATTTATTGGTCATAAAAGTAAAAAATGAGAGAACATAGATTTTCTTCTGCCTGCTGTCATGAACACAAAAATAAAGTCCATAACTTAAAAGTTGGTAAGAAAAATATACTGAAAGAGGCAACCGAGACAGATAGGTACAAACAGAAATACTACAGGTTCATCTTTTTCAGCAGAGCTTCAGGGTACCTAAAACGTACCATTATTGAAAGTGCCATATAATATGTGGTCCAGTGCCTGAAGTAACCCCTCATTTCCTTAATTCAAAACAAACTGTACACTTAAGCACCAGAATTCAAAATACTGAGCTATTAGTTTCCAAGGTATCCCTTACCTGTCTATTAAAAAGTTAACTCCAAAATTAAAAGGAAATTCAGTGGAAATATCTTGGACAACAAGCAACCTAAAGCTACGTTTAAAAAACAGTATTAAAATCCTTTTGCTTTTTTATTGTCTTCTCTCTAGAATTCTATCTCCAGGATTCCTCCCGAATGAACCGATCAACACCTAAGAAATAAGATTACAAATACCTAATTCACAAAAGTCAGTTTCTAAGAGGAGACATTCCAGTCAAATCTATCAAGAGCAGAATCAATGGAGTTTCTGGAAGTCTCCTGGACAATGTGATGTACAACAGACGAAATGCCGGGACAAACAGCATTTAAAAATCCATGATTTAACCTTCTCTCAAACACTCTTACATCAGACCTGGTTAAAATGCTTAGCAGCCAGAGTGCTTCATTTCTAGTAAAGTCAGACTACCTAATACTTGCATAAAAAAATGATGTAAAAAGTTTCAGTATTACTACAGCAGGTTGATCTCCAGGATTTACATGGAACAAAGATACATACATATACTGCATTACAGCAATTTACTTTTATATTCCATAAATATTAAAACATGTTTCCCCACAACTAAATGACAAGATCCTGACATTTAAAACAGGTCAATATTCATCATGAGATTATAATACTTGATCAGATGTTGAAACTCAGGACTTCTATCTGCTTTTTTTGCAAATTCTTCCTAAATCAGATGAAAGACCAATGTCTTTCAAGCCCACAGGAAAAGACCCCCAAGCAAACAGACAAGTGCCTTTCATCTGCTTCAAAAACATCCTTGCAAGCACTCTTGAGTTCTCAGAAGTGCATTAAAAATAACCTTTACATAAAGCAGAGAAGTTAGATTCTTTTAATGGTTCACCCAACTGGCACATCTGTTTTAGTCATTCACCTTTTTCCTTAAATAATCCCTTTATTAGCTGGCACGCTACAACTCAGACATTACCACGGTAAACAAATATGTTTGGCATGGAACCATCTGTAAAGCTCCAAGACTACAGCACCAAATTTTTTCATACAATTAAACCACAAAAAAAAAAAAAAAAAAAAAAAAAAAAATCTCTATGTTACAGTGACATGAGAAGTTGGACTGAAATATGCAAAAGCAAAAAAAAATACAGAGTGGAGTGGAAACTCCATCCAACAAGATCAACATGGTCAGTTAAGGACAATGTCAGACGAAAAAAATCAGCTTAAAGTTTGGAATGTTTTTTGCTTTCTTAATTAAAACTCATACCATTAGTCCATCTGTGCCTCACTTTCTTTATTGTCTTTTAAAAATTATACTAGAAATAAAGTTCTGTGTCTCTAATACTGTGTGCTGTTGAAAGTGGGAATGAAAACATGGAATTTTAACCAAGTGGTGTGGGTATTTTTTCTTATTTGGTTTTAATGGGTGTGCATGAGTATGTTTTGCTTGTTCTGGAGCACATAAAAGATTCAAATGCATATAAGAAAACAAGAATCAAGAATCCTCTCTCTGGGTAGATCCAGTTTCCAAACTTGTATCCATTTTTAAGAGACAAAAGAAAAAAAGTTCAATTTGTATGAATTTCTCTCTTAAGACTTAAAAGTTAGGAGAACGGACAGCAAAGGAGACATGGCTAATATCAAACATTTAAGAAACTGTAGGAATGAGAGGACTGGAATCTTTAAAATGCTTCCCAACATCCCCAAATCACTCTAAATCATGTTTTCTGATTACTTTATAGCTCCTATTTTTAAGTATGTCATTGTAGATCAATACACCTCTAGCATAAGAGTGCAGTCTCAAGAGGATCCTACACAATACTTCAATGTCTTAAAAGGAAAAAATATCCTGTAATATCTTTGTAAGTACTTATCATCCTTTCTATCTCAGACAGAAGTCATTTTCACTGCTGATTTCAACTGCAAAGCTTCAAAGCAATACACAGCATTACAGATTTATCAAACTCAAGACAGATTTGCTTCTGCTAACCTCAGTTCTGTAGTACTGAAGAAAACATGATGAAAGTAGGTAGTAGCAACACCATCTACTTCCACCTTTCTGAAGCATTAATATATCCTCTAGACCTTCTTACTCATGTTTAGAATTGTGCCAATTAGTCTGAAATTATCTTAACAGAAGTGGAGAGTAACTCAATGATGCTACAAAAGGTTCAGTTTTCAATTTCAGATCTCAAACCATAGTGAATTTCATCTCCAAAATGATGCTATTAACATAGTGATTCACATAAAACTACGGGTGGTTTTGTTCATTACTCAATAAATCACAGTCCCTATCCAACATTTTAAGTTAGAAGACAAGCCAGCGGTTCTAGCTGCTTTAAATAAGAGTAGAAGACAGCACACTGATAAATGGCAAATATTCTTCCCCCAACTCTTTCTCCTGATACACAATTGCATCACTGCCTTCATGCTCAGCACTATGATCACCCTGAATTAGCAGACACATAAACCCAGACCACTGGTGCTGCCTTACAGGCTTCCAGACAGAACTTCCAAAAATGTCAGACAGAACTGGAAATTTACACTGAAGTTGGGCTTCAAGACTGAAATAAAGACAAAGAAAGATAAAAAAAAAAATACTGAAATCCTCAATTTTTCTTGCTTCCCAAAACCATCTCCTCTCAGATAGGAGGTAGGGCCTCTCAAATTGTAACATTGTCTTTCAGAAGACAAAAAAATCTACAGGGCACACTATCATAGTAGTTCCACATTGCTCTGGTGAGAATCCAGCTGGAGAACTACATGCAGTCCTGGAATCCTCAAAACAGGAAAGACATGGACCTGTTGGAGCAGGTCCAGAGGAGGGCCACAAAAATGATCAGATCACTTCTCCCCAAAAAGAAAGGCTGAGAGTTGGGTTTGTTCAGCCTGGAGGAGATAAGGCTCCAGGGAGACCTTATTGAAACCTTCCAGTACTTAAAGGGACTTATAAGAAAGATGAGAACACATATTTTAGTGGGACCTTTTGCAATAGGACAAGGGCAAATGACTTTCAATTTGAAGTGGTTGGATTTAGACAAGATATAAGGAAGACTGGTTCTTAAAATAAGGGTGCTGAAACACCAACACAGGTTGGACAGAGATGGTAGATTCCCACCCCTGAAAACACTTAAGGACAGGCTGGATGGGATTCCAAGCAACATGACCTAGTTGCAGATGTCCCTGCTCATTGCTGGGGGGGGGTGTTAAACTAGATGACCTTGAAATGTCCCTTCCAATCCAAAATATTGAGTGGTTCTAGAAGCAAGTCTTGACTCTCTTAAAGCTGCTGGCAGGTTTTTCGAATGAAAGCAAGTTAGTCCCTAATTCCAAATTCTCTCATAGCACGTCACTGCTGAATTTCAGGACTACATTTCAATAGAAAATTTAGGTCCAAAATATGCTTTTTAATTTCCACTATCTGCTTGAAGCAGAAAGCGAATTTTAAAAGAAATGGGG